CGCCCTTCCAATATGCTCCCGGTAACGTCTGTCAGTAGTCACAATGTTCTCCATTAGCCATGTCATAGAACCCGCGCATTTGGGGACCTCTACATGCAGCATCCTCTACTGCCATTAAATCCGAATGACAGTAATCAGATGGGTCAAAAAGTTAGGTTGGTGAAGTTATAGCGACCTTGCATTTCCTAGCCATGCTTTGCTCACACGCCCCAGGTTGTCAAAACCTCCGTTCAAGGTCACCCCCTGTCTGGCCTCACTGGCCAACCACTTCTCAAGGCCAGGAGCTTACAGCGGGGGACTTGTTTACGCTCAGTCACTCGCAGAACCGACGATCTACCGTTCCGTTGTAGTTGTTTGGACCCGGTGATCTACTTGCCGGACTGCGCCTCTGGACTCCTCCCCATTCATGGCTGGACTGCACTTGTCTGGGAGTCACTTGCATATTACTTACATTCTACGCTTGTTACACCTTATTAATTATCTCTAACAGTCTAACCTTCCACGCCTTATCATATCTACAAGTTTATATTCGTTGGGATACGTTCGATCGTATATTATCTGGCCGGATTACATCGTATCCCACATTGGTGACCCCGAAGTCTCGAACATGCTGCTTTTCTCCTCCTCACCGATTCATGTTGCGCAAATTAAATACCCATATTATTTGCTAGATGTGTTGCCTGAAATAGCATTGTGTCGTTCTTCTGGCGGAAGATCCTAAACTTCACTGCTACGTGTTTTGGGGCAGAACGGATGACTGCGTGAATGGTAATATGGCCTACCATAAATAACTGTGTGCTGTCCGCAAAGGGGTGTCGCTCTTGGGCACGGTTGACCTTCGCTTGGAAGATTGGACGGAATTTAATCCTGCCTACGCGCTGCTATTTAGCAGTACAAGTAATAAAGGACGAGACTGAGCCGAGGCTGAAGGAGTGTTTTAGTATGGAGTAGGAGTTTTTATAGGCTATGCGGCCCAGTAACGTTCTTCCGAATGGCGATCCACTACGGACTCCTGAGGATCGTAGTGGACCCCTCTGTTTTGGTCATCTGGTCGGAAGACTCGGCAATCAGCAAGGACGTACCATGGGCCCATCTCCGACACTTCGGTAATGTGATCGTGGCATCTGCGATCTCCTCTTGTGAGCCTTAAAATAGTGATAAAAACCGCGATGGGTTCCCCCTGACTTGCTTCAAATACTCAGCAACAATCCATCCTATCTCGCATATACTTTCCTCCCACGAGCGACAGTTTTTCTCCTTAAAATCCCACAAAT